CGCACGTGCTGGTCAGCCTTGGTGCACGTGCGGGTCAGTCTAGGCGCACATGCAGTACGCCGGACAGCGCGTATGACCTTTCTTTTGTTTGAAATTCGTGGGACTGTATCAATCCCGAACAGGGACAATATAATTATTCAATACTGCCTTTAATGTTTATAGTCTTTACTTTTATAAATATAATAAATAATGAATAGTTAATAATCTATGAATATCGAAATGAGTGTATGATAGAATGAATAGATGAATGTTTCTTCATCAATGTTGGTGGCGATAAGTCTTTACGTGTACTCTTGATAGCCTGGAGCGTGATTCCCCTTCTTCCTTTGGGTTGAGTAGTTGTAGTTGGAGACTCGTGTTGGTAGGGGCAGCAAGTTGGTGTCATCTTAGCAGTTGGTGTGGGGTGAGCTGTAGTGTGCGGAGTGGTGGGAGAACGTCCGTGTGACGTCACTGTTTGTGTACGTGAGCTCAAATGCAGTTGCGGTATTGATGCACGTTCGTGTGCTCGATGTGGGTGGGAACCACGGTGTAGGGATAAGATGTCAGAACGAGCGTCTGGTCGTATCTTACTTGAGTTGGCTGGAATCGCTGTAGTCGTAGTCGTAAGAACGAGCGTCGGCGTTACTTACATGCGGGCGTAAACCGCGAGTGTAGAGTGGCGGTCCTGTCGTGATGGGTGCTTGTTAACTAGTAAGAAGTAGTAAAGAACGAGCGTCTGCGTTGCTTACGGAGGCGTGGGTACCAGTATAGTTGTGGCATCGCTATTAGTTCCTTAGGTTGCTTGATGCTTGTCATGACCTCACAATAGTCTCTCGGCAGGATAATTTTAAAGGAAATCAATAACGGACAAGGCTGAAAAATATAATATGTTTATTTTAAAACAAGGTTTAATGAGTGTAAACAATTATAATAATATTGCACTGTTGTGTAGAAATAAATAATTCTGTTGGATTATTCAAAGGATGTGTTCTTGTGATTTTTCTGCTATAAAGGCTTCTTTGGATATTGCTGTGTTGCTTTGAGGTTATGCTGATGTTGTCAATGTCAGCTGATGTCGTCAGTCAATCATGCTTGTGAGGCAGCATGAGAAGATGGTAGTTGAATCAAGTATACTTGATTGATGAATAGCTATACTTGATGTGGTGTCAGATCTTAAATGGAATTTATTATGTAATCGATTATGTCTTT